GGCATAAAATAATTCTTGAAATACATGGGGAGAAAAATTTTGTTAAGGTTGCATCTGCAAATGTGTGCGATACATCTCCGCAATTGCCGATTGCCTCTTTTTCTCTCTGTTTTTTCTCTTTCTCTCTCTTTAATTTGTAGGAGGGTAAAACCAAAATAATTCAATTTACAATAAATTCAATTTGTTCGGAAATTGGTAGCAATAACACAATAAAATAAATCCTTGTCGAAGCAATTCCTATAAAAAATGTAAAGAATTGCTGTAATTTTTTATGAACACTGTATTGAAACAAAAGTTGTATACATGCGTTATTCTTTACGTACGTTATTCTTCAAATTTTAATACGACTGAATTTATTTGTATTTATATAATTTACGAAGCTTAACGCACTTTGTAGAAAAATTAAATTTAAATCAAATTTATATCCTCCCCCTCTCGCTCTTTCTCTCCCCCTCCCTCTCTCTCCCCTCTCCCCCCCCCTCTCTCTCCCCTCTCCCCCCCCCTCTCTCTCTCTCTCTCTCTCTCTCTCTTTCTCTCTCTCTCTTTCTATAAAAATATTATCCAACAATTTCAAAGCGTTCCTAACAAATTAAGTCCGGTACATTAAGAGATAATTAATTTAATACTCGGTATACAAATTTCCGAGAAAATTCACTAATTGGCTTCGGCGTGGGCATTAATGAGAAAATAAAGTTATAATTTATTAATATAAATCATATAAAAACACTATTAAAATTTTGAATGTCGATTGTTTAAAATTTTTAAAGTAATCTAAGCGATTTTTTACATTATAAAATTCTGTGAATTTAGTTTTTTATATGTATAAATAAAATAAGCAATCAAGAATATTTTAATTAAAATTATATCGTAGATGAACGTACAGTTGCTTGTATATATAGTTGCTTTAGGATTATTGATCGCCGCTAATGTATCGAATACTTAGAAAGCACAGCACCATAGCCATGTTAATGTATGGGTAACCTTGCTTCATTGAAATAACGGGTCTTGAACACGACGATTTAATTCATAATGACCACTTAATGCACCCTGCGTGATGCTCTAAGCTAAGCATGACTTAACCTTCACACTTCCACGTATGCCCAACAAGCATTCGATAATTCGAAATCTATATACGTCAGATGTGTATATATTAATATTCCAATAGAGACATTGGTATTCCAATTAACGAATAGCACAAGTTCCGAATTCAAATATTCGTAATAATTCGAATTTATGTACGTACATCAACTAGATAATTTTGTAACCGATTCACATAATTCTTTGAACATTTTAATTGTGCATTTGGCAATTTTTTATGGCGTTGCGACTTCCCATTTTGCACCGCTGCAACATAGAAAGATCTGCGATAAAAAAGTGATTCATTTATTACATGTACGGCTAACCTCGTGGGATTGGAATTACAAGTCTTGGACGCGACCGTTTAAATTATGACCGGCACTTAATGCACTCCGTGTGTAACTATAAGCCAGAGCAACTCGACAACTTCATAGAGGCAGCGTGCCAGGAACTCGTAATTGTTTTGAATTAACGATACTTTAGGCTGAGCCCAACTGCGAACCATTATGCGGTTCGTCCATAACGATTGTATGGTCCGATTGTAATACTAGTATATATACGTATACAACTTCATGCCTCTGTTTTAAAAAAAATAATTTTTAAAAAATCACTATTTTTACGTCCATCGTGATTTCGAGGTATTAAGATCTCATTAGCGACGCTCGCGCATTTCGGTCTGTTTAATCATGCACAGTCACTTTTATTACGTTAAAAATAATTGCGCAAAAAATAAAATTGCGCAACGAGAGCTGGAAGTAGCGTTTCATGTACTAGAAAAATGTAAATTTGCCATACGTCCATTAACTGGCGAAATAAATATTTCGGCGATTTTTTCGTTAAGGAAGAAATAGTTGACCTGCTTTTTGAGGCCATGACATACAGTGCCGTTAAATCTAGTTTAATCAATGGACGTGCCATGTTACGTACATAGCATATACAGTGCGCGAGCATATACATCGTGCATACAAACGATACAGTAACAAGATTGGAGTTTACCGATTCTCTTTTTAGAATTCTTCAAAATGCATGTTTAGTAATGGGGACCGATTCGATTTACTTTAGATTTAAAAATCTGTTAAATTAAATTCATATTTAAATGGTTTTATCGTCAATATGCTTTTACAGTTTAATTCATCGAAATTTTTCCATTTTCAACTGCTTGTATATCAACATTGACGCTCATGTCGAAAACGAACGTTATTCTTTATTTAACATGTAAAATCTGTAGAGCAAATTGATAGGGCGCTGTATAAACGCTTGAATATAACACAAAGGTTCACGTTTCAAGCTAAATATCACTGAGTTAACGAGTCTTTTTTGACGATTCTTCTGTTGCCTTTCTTCAATATGGTTACTATTTTGTTTATTAATAAAACAAGTATTTTATTTTAAAAATGCCGCACTGGAAAAAGTGTCTGGTTGCATTAATTTTGAAATTTTGGTTGAAACTGAACAAATCAGATTTTGTTAAATCTATTAAAATTCCAGTTGAAATATATATATAATCAGAAATCTGGTTGATGTGAATCAGAAGCTTCTGATTCGTTTATTTCCAGAAATTGTTCTCAATGCATTATTCATATTACATTCATCAATGGTACATTTATTCGTTTAATATATCCGGATGGACGTATCCGATTTATTGCAAATCTGTGGTTTTGCGTTCCAAGTTTTGTGACGATTAATAAAAAGGGGCTTATTTTCGCATTTTCGATTATACAGTTTAAATTGCATCCCTCACGCGCCTCGGATGACCAATGCAAAATATTTATGAATATTTTAGGCACATTTACGACACGTTTACTGACTGTATGTAACAAATGCGTTAGGCTAGGATAACTGGGGACGGCGATATTAATATTGATAGAATTTATCTTTATTTAATGAGAAGTGAAAATTAAACGAAATAATTAATTAACGTGAAATCAATATGTCGTGGCGGCAGTACGTGAAAATCACGTTGACAAATTTTAGTTGCGCGTGCCCGATATCGCGAAGGTGCAATGGCGCGTTTGCGCAACGACAAACATTTTTCTTTCCCGATATTCGCGAGAATGCCGAAAGTTTATATTAAGGCAAATGCATGCGCGGCCGCGGCGAGTGATGCTTATGACGCACCGGTGAATTATCGGCGAGCATCGGGTAATGCTCGTGACGGGGAACATATTAAAAGCCTGATATATTATACCGTTGTCGAGACATTTTATCCAAACGCCATTTTACGTATCTGTAATTAGACACTTTGTTGAAAGTCGCAAAAGAATTACAGATCTTTTATAATTATCATTCTTTTTCAGGCGCGCGCTCTTTAAATCGCGAGAGAAAAAGACCGACGCGTTCTCCAAACGTTCCTAAACGCTACATATCTCTGACAAGAGTCGAGGATAAGTTAAATTTATGACACATAAAAGAAACGTCTGTAATTATATGACTAATGTATTACAGGAGAGGAGTGATAAAAGTTACAAAGAACAAGAAGATATTTTAATATTTCAACTTTTCCTGCATAATTTAAAGAAGAAATTTCTTACCGTCCCAGACAGCACAGAATATTTATAATAACTATTCATTTTTTTTAATGTTATATAAATATTTTATACATATTTTATAT